GCCGTGGAGCAACTAAGCCCGTGCACCACAACTACTGAGCCTACGCTCTAGATCCCGCGTGCCACAACTACTCAGCCTGCATACTGCAATTACTGAAGCCCATGCGCCTAGAGCCTGTGCTCCGCAACAAGAGAAGCCACCACAATGAGAAGCCTGCACACCACAATGTAGAGTAGCCCTCCCGTTCGCCGCAACTAGAGAAAGCCCACGCGCAGCAATGAGGACCCAGCACAGCCAAAAAAAAAAAAAAAAAAAACAACTTTCCAGGGAATTCCCTGGTGGTCCAGTGGTAAGACTCCATGCTCCCAGTTCAGGGGGCCTGGGCTCGATCCCTGATCCGGGAACTAGATCTCACATGCATGCCCCAACAAAGGTCCCGCGTGCTGCAACTAAGACTCGTCACAGCCACAATAAACAATAAACAAATAAATGTTAACCAAAAAAAGTTTCTGTATCAGGTGCTGGATTCAGATGCAAAGAAGGCACAGGCTGGAGTTCCTGGCCTGGAAAGGGAGAAAGACACATAAACGTATTACACACACTGTAGCAATGAAAATTGACAAGAGATGTGCAGGGGTTATGAGAAGGAGGGAGTGATGAACTCTACCTGAGGGAGTCTCTGGGAAGGTGACCGCTGAGCTGGGCTTCAAAGATGGATGGAATTTGCTAGATGAGCAAGCGGCAGAGGGAGGATTCCAGGAGGCAGAGGGATATACGCTGTAAAGGCACAGACCCAGAAGACAACACAGTTAGTTTTGCCGGACTATAAAATGCAGGGCTGGGGGAAGAGTGGGTGGGAGATGTAAACTATAGAGCATCGTATAAGTACAGTTGATTTCATTTACATCAATATTGCCACATCAAAGTGGAGGGGGCTGGAGACAGGCCAACAAGAGGTAACTGTGGCCAGGCCACGAAGAGCCTGGTATTTACTTAGTTCAGTTGTGTGTAGGTTGAACCCAGACAGTGGTGGTGGGAACAGGGAGGGAACAAGAGGTAATTAGCAGGTAGGACTGTTGGGACTTGGTGACTGAGTGGATGTGGGAGGTGAGGGAGAGGGAGGAATCCAAGCTCACTTCCAGCTGTACCAGGCTTGACCCACAAGGAGGCTTGTGGGTCCCCCAGTGACTTTGTGACTCTAGGAAGAAGAGCAGGTTTGGGGGATAAGAAGGTAAGTCCTGTGTTGGACACATTGAGCTCAAGATACCTGTGGAAAAATGGGGTGGGGAGGGGATGTAGGTGGTTGGAATTACATGGTAGATGTTCTATAATGTCAATTATAGAGCTTGTCTGGAGGCATGTGGTTGGGATAGAACCTAGGATATAGTATTGATAATGGTCAGCATTTCACAAGTGCTTGCTACGTTCCAGGCTGTGCCATGTACTTTACAGGCAACACTAAGTCGGAGACCAGATTTGCTTTGCTAATCATTTTGCCTCTAGCAACTAGCACATAATGGGCACACAGTAATTGTTTTGTTGAACGGATACTCTCATTTAGTCCTCACCACAAACCTATGAGGCAGATACAATTAGGATCCTCATTTTACCAATAGGAAGATGATCTAGGAAAAGTTGAGTTAACCGAGGTCACACAACTGCTAAGTAGCAGATCTGAGATTTGAAATCAGCTCTTTGTGACTCTAAAGTCCAAAGTGCTTAACTGCTTTGCTAGAATGTTAAATCTGCCCCTAAATATGTACTTCTTATGACCTAGGGTGACACTCTAACCCCTCTGAGACTGTTTCCGCTTCCAAATCAGGAGTGGGTTTCAAAAATCTCAAACCACCCCTACAGCTTCCAAACATTGATGACATCAGATGACGACTGTGGCAATGCATTGAAGAGGCCCACACCACATCATTTAGGGTAGAAGGTCTGAGCAGCATATGCAGTGCTACAGTGGGACACCAAGCAAGTGCTAGGTACAGGCAAAGAGGGTGGATTAGTGTTCTGCTTCTGTATAACAAATCACAACAAATCAAGCAGCTTAAAACAACACGTATTCATTATCTCACAGTCTCTGTGGGTCAGGAGTCCAGGCACAGCCTAGTTCAGTCCTCTGTTCAAGGTCTCACAAGGTTGCAATCAAGGTGTCAGACAAGCTCACTCTCAGCTGGATGCTTGAATGGGAAACAATCTGCTTCTGAGCTCATCCGGGTTGTTGGCCGGAGGCCACCCTCAGGTCCTAGAGGCTGCTCATAGCTCCTTGTCCTGAGAGCTTCCTCAACATGGCTGCTCACTTCCTCAAGCCCAGCAGGAAAACCTACTAGTGTGTGCTAGCAAGATGGAGCTATATCTATCTATCTATATATATATATATGTACATACCACGACATAATCTAGGGGTGACATCCCAGCAGGCAGGAATTACTGGGGATCACACTAGGGTCTGTCAACCACAAAACACACACAATGTGTGTCATCCACATTACCTGCTGAGAATTTAAAAGTAATAATAAAACCAGTTCAACTTGGTCTGCTTTTTAATTAACACTATGAACTGGCAATTCTAGACATCATCAGTGACAAAATACTCTTTCCTGAAAAAATCTTTTGTTGTTTTAAGTTCTAAACAGTTGCTGGGATTACTGTTTTCTTTTTTAAATACATTTATTTATTTTTGGCTGCGTTGGGTAGGCTTTCTCTAGTTGCGGAGGGTGGGAACTACTCTTCGTTGCAGTGCACGGGCTTCTCAGTGCGGTGGGTTCTCTTGTGGAGCACGGGCTCTAGGCACGCGGGCTTCAGTAGTTGTCACACATGGGCTCAGTAGCTGTGGCTCACAGGCTCTAGAGTGCAGGCTCAGTAGTTGTGGTGCACAGGCTTAGTTGCTCCATGGCATGTGGGAATCTTCCTGGAGCAGGACTCAAACCCGTGTCCCCTGCATTGGCAGGCAGATTCTTAACCACTGCGCCACCAGGGAAGTCTGGAAAATTATTTTAAAATTATTTATTTTAAAACTAAAAAACGAATAAAGAAAAAACCCATTACATCATCAGTAGTATAATTTAGTAGTTGACTAAACTACTAACCCACTGTTGTGTTGCTTAGGAATAAAAATTAACAGCTGGGCTTCCCTGGTGGTGCAGTGGTTGAGAGTCCGCCTGCCAATGCAGGGGACGCGGGTTCGTGCCCCGATCTGGGAGGATCCCACGTGCCGCGGAGCGGCTGGGCCCGTGAGCCATGGCTGCTGGGCCTGTGCGTCCGGAGCCTGTGCTCCGCAACGGGAGAGGCCACAACAGTGAGAGGCCCGCGTACCGCAAAAAAAAAAAAATTAACAGCTAGCACTAATTGAGGTTCACATTGCGCTAGACACTGTTCCAAACACACACACACACACACACACACACATTTATATTAACTCATGAATCCAGGTAAGTCCTGCTATTACCCTTATTTTATAAATAATATAGTCCGGGGGCACAGAAGATTGTGATCTGCTCAAGATCAGCCAACTAGAGTGGCGGAGCTGGAATTTGAGTCCGGGTAGTGCGGTCCCAATGTGTGAATTCTTAGACACTAGTAAGGAAAAACAAAGAAACACCAATATCCCCAACAACCTTGCAGGCCGTGGAAGCCCTTCAAAAAGGACAGGAAGGCTTCTTTCCATCCAGGAGGGCTTCTTTCTGTTCCTGACCTGCCCCTGCTGGATCCTGGGCTGAGGGAGAGCCGGCTTCCCAAGGACCTGTCAGAGGGGGTGCTCTCTCGGCGTCCCTTCTCCGCCCTCGGAGCACCCTCGCCGCGCCCCTGCCTTCCTCTGCCAAGCCCAGGTCTCTCCCGGCCCTTCCCAGCTTCCGGCCCTTTGCTTCAGGCCAGGTCGCTGGGTCGGGCCGCGCCAGGAGCTCGCAATTCCTCTATTTACTGTTTGGTTTCCATGGTGAGACGCAGGTGCCGTCAGCGCCTCCCGTCATCGGCCCCGCAGCTCGGCCCCCACCCGGCGCCGTGACGTCTGCCCGCTGCTTCCTCTCTGCCCATATTTGGCTCAGCCACGGCGCCGCCCGTCTGGACTAGGCTGGGAGCCGGACTCCCGCCTTCCCCCGCCCTCTGTCCCCGGCCACGCCCCCGTGGGGCTGCTGCGGGCCGCTCGGTTCCACGCGACCCCAGACCCATCCCCGACACCCGAGCGGAGGCGAGGGGCAGGGGCGATAGGGACCCCGAGGGAAGGCGTGGATGACTGATGGATGAACTCTGGGGTCCCAAACATTTGTCTCGTTGAGGCTGTAGCCAAGATTTGGGCTGTTTCGTTTGTTTGGGGTGGGAGAGCTGGGATCACGATTTTCTCACTCTGTGCCCGAAATCATGGAAACAGCCATCCTTCGCCTCACTATTTTACATTTTATAGGCTTGAACTTAAAATTCTCGTCCATGGCGCAGTGAAAAGCTTTGAAGGCCGAGGTTCTGGGATCAGCGTTGCCCCTTGGGGGATAAGTGACCTTGGGAAGGTCACTTCCCTTTACCTAGCCTCGTAAAATGAACTTCGGGGGTGGGGCTCTGTGTCGTCAGGCTTGTGAGGGGAGATCGTCCATCACCTTTTAGTTACAGGCGTTGGCGGGGGGGAGCGGCGCATTACATAATTGGAATATCAGTGAAGTTCTTTGAGGACCCCTACAATTCTGACCTCCATAGTAACTGGATTTGTGCGTCTCTTTGCGCCTTGCTCGTATTAGGCGCTTAATTAACTGTTGCTAACTGATTATTGAGTGAATCCCAGGCAAATTACTTTCGGATTTCACCTTCATAAATCCAGACCCCCGCAATTCCTCTTACAGGCGGAACCAGGAATATTGCGGCGATGGTTAATAATCCCGCAGTAGGGTTGCTGATGTAAAGCGATTTGCAGATGTAAAGGGCAATAAACATTCCTGGGAGGAATCCAGCGAGATTCCAGAAGTCTCGGAGGGAGCCGTGGGTGTGCGCCGCCCGGCCATGAGGGCGGGGGTGGGGCGGGCAGTGCCGCAGTGGCTACTGCCGGGGAGCCGACTGCAGGGGTGGGGTCGACTCTTGAGGCTGCTTGGTCGCGGCTACCGCCCTCCACCCTCAACCCGCACCCATTCCCCAGTTCCTCTGGCCAAAGGAGTGTGTGTTTTTCAGAATTTCAGAGCTAGAACGCACATCAGGTACGATTGCTCTAATTCAGCCTTTCAATTTTACAAATGGGGGAAGGAAGGCTCAGGTTCACTCCGGCAAGTTGCACAGCTAGTCAGAGACAGATAAAAGCCAACATGTCTGGCTTCAAACTGGTGTCCCTTCCACCTCCCCTTTAGCCCCCTCAGCCCTTTTGGCTTCAGGTTGCCTGGCTCAGATGGTGGAATGTACAGTAAAGCTAAATATCGACTTCAGGGCTCCTCTAAAGGGTGCCAGTGGCATGCCTACTGCCCCATACAGCCCACAGCATGACACCAGGGCCTGGGGTGATGGCCAGGAGGGTCGTACTCCCCAAACCACAAGAGTTCCTCATTCCAGTGGCTGGAATGGCTACCCTTGTCCAGAGAGCCTGAATTGGCTGTCTTGAAACCAGTCTTAAACTAGCAGTTGATTATTTTTCATAGTTACCCAAGCCTCCCATTAACTTTTCTCAGTCAAGACAACAGCAGAAGGCATGGGTAGCCTGAACCCATGGAGACCCCTTTTCTGCTCATTGGAAGGTCTTTTCATGGTACAAAGAGGTTAGATCCTGTGAGGGAATGCTTCTTTAATGTCTCTCTCTCTCTTCCCTTTCTGTTTACCCAACTTCCTCTTACATTCTATATTCTATTTCCTCCCTGACTGTAGGCAGCTAAGACTGAGAAGACTGGTGCCCACCGCCGGCCGAGGGCCGTTCCAACCTGCTGATTTGAGGAGGAGTCTGGGATCCTTCACCTTTCTCGCTGGATCGATTGTACTTGGAGCTCTAGCGACAGAAGTAGCAGCTCTGCCGCCTGGTGGACATATGAGGCAGAGCACCCTTCTTCAATTCCAGAAGCAGCATCACGGCTAGGGGAAGAGATTTTCTTTGTTCACTGATGGAAATAGCAAAACTTGGCAGAAAAAATAATCCCAGTTTTTTCTCTCTTCAGTTTATTTCTGAGGATCTGAGTGATTTGGATGCAGAAAACACTTCTGTTGTTTCTCTCGCCCGGACTGCTTTTTTTCCTTCTGCCAAGTTTTGTTATCTCCATCAGAGTGAACAAGGTTTCCTTGCCCCTTCTCTCAAACCCTATTTCAAATTCCATCTCCTTCATAACAACTTTTCTGACTCCTCTCCTGTATATCTTATGAAATACAGCTGTGCACAGACCCAGCACACAGAGCACAGCTTACATGCTGTCTTTTTTTTTTTAAAATTTATTTATTTTTGGCTGTGTCGGGTCTTTGTTGCTGTGCGCGGGCTTTCTCTAATTGCGGCGAGCGTGGGCTGCTCTTCATTGTGGAGCACGGGCTTCTCATTGCGGTGGCTTCTCTTGTTGCAGAGCACGGGCTCTAGGCACATGGGCTTCAGTAGTTGTGGCACGTGGGCTCAGTAGTTGTGGCTCACGGGCTCTAGTGCGCAGGCTCAGTAGTTGTGGTGCACGGGCTTAGTTGCTCCGCGGCATGTGGTATCTTCCCGGACCAGGGCTCGAACCCGTGTCCCCTGCATTGGCAGGCAGATTCTTAACCACCGCACCACCAGGGAAGTCCTACATGCTGTCTTTACTGTTGTTTCCTTGAGAGTTGAGGCCAGGTCCTGGGTGTCTTTTGTGTTCATAGATGCCCAGCACAGGGCTGGGGACAAAACCTGCTCTCAAGCCCTTGCTGATTAATTGATTAATTAATTGATTAATTTCTCCAAAAGCAACTCCAAGCCTTTGCTTTGATAAACCTTCCTCTCAGTTCTTTGGAAATCTAGATAATGATCTAATCAAAGACAGCCTTGCACAAGAAATAGTTTCACAAAGCAGTTTCACAAGAGAACACCACCACCACCCAGAGAGGGATGAGGAAGTGTGGACTCTCCCTGAAGATGAGGAGGGTGGTGACATAGGAAAGTCGGAGGACAAAGAACTAGGAGAGGGGAGGCCTCTGCTCCTGGGATCGGAGAGGCAGCACACCGTCTAGAGCTGGGTTTCTGTCCAGACCCCACCACTTGCTGTGTGGCCTTAGGCAAGTTTACTCTGTTCTCTGTGCCTCAGTTTTCTCATCTGTAAAAAGAACTACTCACCTCCTAGTGATATGAGGAGGATAAATTGAGCTGATATATGCAAAGTGCAAGAACAGTGCCTGGCACATAGTAAGTGAAATATAGCAGTTTGTTGATCTGTTTTCCAACGTAGCTGTTTTATAAATGGAATGGGGGAAGGTTATAAAATCTCTTTGCTCCCTTCTGCACCGACCTTCCTGGGCAGTGCATGAGCTATGTGGTCATGCAGGTCTGGGTGGATTCCTGTCTCTGTTACTAGTTGTGTGACCTTGGGCAGATCACTCTACTTCTTGGAGCCTCAGTTTTCTCATCTGTGAAGTGAAGATAATTGTGTCTACTTCCAAAGACTGCAGGTACATTACATGATTATAAAAAGCCTGGCATATCAGGAGTTTAATAAACAGAAACTATAATAATATAGTTATAATATATATAATAATAATAATATATATTATATAATATAGTTATTATTATCTATGAGAGGAGCCACATCTAAAGGAGAAGAGACTCCCCGAAATCTTTGAGGTTTCAAGAAAGATTGAACGTTCTGAGTAGCAATGAGACCAGCTCAACTCCTGCAGCTTGGGGTTGGGAGGGTAGGCCCTGGGTCTGGGCCATGACTGGATATCACAACATCTGAAGAAACCAGGAATGGTTTGGCTTGTGTATCAGCTCTAGGGACATTTCCTGCCTGAGGACTGCGCTGAGGGTGTGGACCTAGTCGGGTCAGGTGCCAGCAGCGGGGGACCCATCCTTCCCACGAGGTGGGACTTTAGTAAAAGAGGGCGTGGGCAGGGTGGGCCTTGGAAACCTGTTGTTGTTGAGTGTGTGTGTGTGTGTGTGTGTGAGAGAGAGAGAGAGAGAGAGAGAGAGAGAGAGAGAGAGAGAGAGGGAATGGCCCAGAGACATCCTTCCCTGGGACTGGCCTCCCAGGCCTGGCACAGCCGCCCTCATGGCAGAACTTGCCTGCACAGCTCCTCAAAGCTGCCATTCCCAGCCCTGACCCAGGACATCCCAGAGTGATTGCCCCTAATTATCCAAGGGATGTGGGGAAGGAGGGTTGTCATAGTCTTACAGCCAATGTAACCTTAATTCCCTTCAGCTGCATGGATGGAAAAGTACTAAACGGCACATACAAATCGTGCAGTCCTTTGGGTTCTTTTAGAAGGGCGAAGGAGCGTTGCAAAATCCAACGATGATAGAGTGTCGCAACCCCAAATATGTTGGGAATCACTCTTACGGCTCTCACCCTTGACGGCTCTCGTCCCCTGTGACCCACAAGGAGTTGTGCGCCCTGACAGGCTGGGGTCTACACTAAGTAAGTTGTCGTTCTGGGATCCCAGACGGTCTTAGGAGCTCTTTGGGGATCACAGAGGAATCTGTGAGCCTCATTCCAAACTCATGTTTCCAGTCGTGGCAACGGGGGGCGGGGAGCACCCAGCGACTAGTACCTGGAGCGGAGCTGAAACGTGGCGTGTGAAGAGTCACGAAGGTGCTAATGTTGGTTGTCTCTGGGGAGAAAGGAATGTGTTTTTTGTTTTCTTCTCTTTGCTTGTTTGTACTCTCTGATTTTTCGTTTTTGGCGAGCACACAGATTGCTTTTGTAATAAAAATGTTTTTTAAATGTTCCCAGCAGAACAGTATGTTTGTTTTTTTTAATAGGTAACGATAATAAATGGAAAGGCTCAGAACTCAGACACCTCCTGATTTTTTTCTTCCACCCCTCCTTTCCAAAAGAAATAGATGCTCCTGGTGAAACCTTTGAAAATTCAGATAATCAAAATAAAGAAAATAAAAATCACCTGTAATCCCATTACGGAGGTAACCACTGCCAAACGCGGGCCTCTCACTGTTGTGGCCTCTCGCGTTGCGGAGCACAGGCCCTGGATGCGCAGGCTCAGTGGCCATGGCTCACGGGCCCAGCCGGTCCGCGGCATGTGGGATCTTCCCGGACCGGGGCACGAACCCGTGTCCCCTGGATTGGCAGGCGGACTCTCAACCACTGGGCCACCAGGGAAGCCCTGCCAAAAGTTTTGATTCTCCCTTTCCAATGTACACTTTAGTTTTATACTTTTTAATTTATACATTGTAGTTTTCATGAACATAACACCAGGCCAGAATACTGTTTTATAATCTTGTTTTTCTATACCATAGATCATGAACACAGAAAATTTTTTCTACGTGATCACTTTAATAGCTAGTCACATAGAACTCTAAACATCCAACAATTTAACCAATCCTGTATTCTTGGACCTTTGGGTTGTTTCTAAATTTTTTGCTATTATAGACAAGGATGCAAATATCTTTGTGGTTAAATTTTTGTGCACATCTGAGATTTGTTCGTTCGAGCTGGGCCCAGGGGGTACTCCTTTTTAAGGCTTTTGAAACATAGCTGTGCAGTCAGTACACTGTTACATAGGACAAGTGGGAAGGGAGTATTGGCTCAACCAGTTTCTAGCTGTGCAATCTTGAGGAAATGACTTACCCTCTCTGCATTTCAATTTCCTCAAATGTAAAACTGGAATGGTAGTAGCTATGGAATGAGATTGTTGTGAGGATTGAATGAAAAAAAGAGTGTCACGTGGTGCCTGGCACAGCACAGGATGAGCCCTCAATAAATGGTGATTTTTTCTGATTTATGGATTGTCTTTTCTTCAGGGGAAGAAGCTGTCTTGAGGTTGAGGTCTGGTTGCCTGGGAAAGTTGCGGGGAGAACTCGAGCAGGTGTACATGGTGAAGGGGGAAGATGCTGGGGAGTGGAAGGCAGAAGAGGACAAGTGATAGAGAAGAAGCTGATGGGGGGTAGGCTGAGGAAAGTTTAGCAGAGAGGAGTGTGGGCGTGGGGGAGAATGGGAACCCAACGGACACGGATGAGATGTCCACATGGGCCATTTGGAGCAGGGACCCTCGGAAACAGAGCCAGGTGCCAGTCCCTGTGTGGCCTGGGAGGCCACCTCTATAAGATCTGAGATGGAGCCTGTGTCCTTTGGTCCCTGGCCCCACAAGGCCGCTTTCTGCCTTCCTCTCAGTCCCATGCTGCATTACTCCAGGCCAGTCTTCTTTCAGTTCCTTGAGCGCGCCATGTTCCTGCCTGTTGGGTGAACTTTGTGCGTTCTGTTTCCCCGGCCAGGGATGCCCACTCTTGCTGGCTAATTCCTAGCACCCTTCAGATCTCAAGCGTAAAGCTCACTTCCTCACAGAGGCTTTCCCCGGCCATTTGGTATGAACCAGCCCCCTTGCTCCCGTTATTCTCTCATGGCCCTCTGTGCCCTCATAGCAATGCCAAAGTTTGGTGTCTTCACTGGGCTGAAAGCTCCATGAGGGCACGAAGAGGGTCTGTTTTTTGCTCACTCTTGTACCCCTGATGCCCAGCACATAGTAGACACTCAATAAACAGTTATTGAAAGGGAAGAAGAATAAGACAGTTCATCTGTGACCTGTAAAATGCCTTTACATCCCCTCCTGTGGCTTCAATCCCATCCTAATTGATGCTGGCTGGTTGGCTGAAGGAACAGGAGACTTGAGGGCTGCGAGGAATGCCTTAGCCAGCTGCTCTCCCATCCTTCTCTCCCTTGAGGAAGCAGGCTTCCCTTTCTAAGACTAGAAACTTTAAACCAGTGCTTCTCAAACTTAAAGGTGTATATAGATTACCTGGGGATCTTCTCAACATGCAAATTCTGATTCTGGGTGTCTAGGGTCCACCTCAGGGTCAGGTCCAAGACTCTGCATCTCTAACAAGCTCCTGGGTCAAACCCATGTTGGTCCCAGGACCTCTGAGCAGCAAGGCTTTCAGTCTACAGCCTCTTTCTGTTTAACACACTACCGATTCCCACGCCTAAGTTTGAGTCGCTGCGCCCTCTGCCGGCCACTGAGGGGCATGGCAATCATTGACCAAGTATTAGATAAAGACTGCACGCATGAATTTTAAAACTCATGCAAAATTCTTGGGGAACAAGATCTTCTCCTAAAAGCAGATGGGCACACAGATTCCAATAGCATTAGGAAAATGTACTCCTTTTTTTTAAAACATCTTTATTGGAGTATAATTGCTTTACAGTGTTGTGTTAGTTTCTGCCATATAACAAAGTGAATCAGCTATACGTATACATATATCCCCATATCTCCTCCCTCTTGCGTCTCCCTCCCACCTTCCCTATCCC